GCTCCATAGACCTTAAAAGACAGTCGGGACCTGTATATCCTAGTTGCTTTCTCGCGGGACCATTCTATCATAGTAGTGCCTTGATATTTTCAAACTTTTAAAATAAAAAATATTCGGTACAAGGTTGTTAGACGAGACAATAGTGCCGGAGATGGAAACCAATTTTTGTAGAGGTGAAATTTGAATCTACCCAATTTCAAAGCTTAATAACTTTTCTGCTAATTTCCCTCTACTTTTCAACTAAGGTTAGATACGGATCGTTTGTTTTCAAGGGAAAGACCTACACATACGAGCATTTCAGCTCATAACGGAAAACGGTACAAGTAAACACTTCAAAAACGCAAGTAAACAAATGAGAACCAAGGTTTTTGAAGATTTGAAGAACTAACCATTTTCATCGGGACTCGGCTTAATTTTAGAGACCCAACTATCATCCTTACACCCGAAAAACTGCTGATGTGACTCAGATTAAAAACTACGTAAAAAAATTCCCAAATTGACACAATTTAAATCTATATGTTACAAATCCAATGGTGATCTCCCACACAATACTTAATATACTAAAGCCTCATTACTCTTATAATTATTATTATGATTTTTGTTCCGACTTTCGATACGAAATTAACGGAATATTTGTGCTCGGGTGGGTTTTTTTTTCTTCAGACAAATTTCGGCTTTATAACTAGCCATTTTTGACAGGAATTTTTTTATACTATTCAAAAGTCATTGTTGTCCTGAGCATAAATTTGAAAAAGATATTTTACCTGTGATCAATTTTCGTAAAGTTATGGGGGTTTAAAGTTTGGCATTTTGGCCAATTTGGGACAATTAACGCGCGAAATATTTCGCGCTATTAACGGGTAAGCGGAGATTTAATCCGTCTTAGAAATCGTTCCAAATTGGTTGGAAGAAGCTTATTTGCCATAATTGATGTGTTGCTAGAAGCGAAATTCATTACTTTGTACTTTATATGGCGTGTGGGGGGATGATTTTCACAAAATATCTCAATTTTTTAAACAAAATTTTGTTCATTTTATTTTCTTTTTTTTTTATATTTAGTTTTTTCATGTTATTACCGCTTCATAGACCTTAAAAGGCAATCGGAACATTCAGGGCTTCGACCTGATACGAGCAGTCTTGTTATGTTTTTGGTCATTTTCAGGTCAAAGTTGTCGATCAAATTCAAGCAGCAGAGGAAGAGCACGACGGTATCTCAATTGGGCCCAGTCACTTCGGACTAGATGCAGACCCTGATAATGACCTTGACCCTTACTATGACATGGACATAGATGTGGACGCGATCAGTTTCGGAGGCTGCTCCCCCAGGGGGTCCAGGGTGGACGAGAGGGGAGTGAAACACGAGACTGATTCACAGAAGATGACCATAACTCAGTGAGTTCAAATTATTCAGATCATTTTGATAAGGTGAACTTGGCACCCTTGCATTATTATACCTGATTGCATGGCTAATGCAATCATCTCAGTTCCCTCATTTCTTGAATTAAAGCTCGTATTAAAAACCTGTTTTTAATGCCATGGTCAATTAAAACCGAATCATTTGCTGAAAGAATTAGTGAAAAAGTTGTCATAAAAAATTGAGTTAGTATCGCTATTATTTTAACCAATCAAAGTCTAGAAAGTAAATTTCTCTTTTCTTCAATGCACACTTCCGAAATAGGGCAAAAAAAACTTCAAATTATTTTATTAAGGTCATCAAGGGAGACTTAACTTTGCTGATTAATCGAGTCTCTAATTAAGCTTAGTCTAATTCGAGTCTTAGAAAGTTTCCTCGTGTTTCACTCAAGTTTAAAATGACCGATTTGGGGGCATAATTAAATTGAGATGAAATTAGGTCTTGAAGATTTAATTGAATCGGAAAAATCTAATTTCATTTTGATGAGATCCAATTGCATGGAAGAAGAACGATTTCTTTGATTACATGCTCATTTAAGCGGAAATAATAGAAGAAAAAAAAACTAATTTATTTGGATGCTGAGGCTTGCAACAATCGCAGATACGGGACGACTTAACAAACTCATGGTAGCTCACACAATTAACAAAAAAAAACTAAATTTTGTCCTTAAAAGGTCAATTAAAGTGCTCAATAGTCTATTTTTTCCTGGTTTTGCGCATCAAGATCTTTGCAGCATCTAATGGAACAAAAAATGCAAATCGCACATTAAACGCAAATCATCTATTACCTTTAATTTGAAATTTGGTTAGTTTGAAAAATTAGTTTTTTTTAGAAAGGACAGCTCGGCCGACTCAGTGGACAAAAACCACCTGACGATCTCGATGAGACGGAGTGGTCCTTCATTTCGACCAATCAGAACAGAGAAAGCGAAACTAGCCAATCAGGCGGCGAAACGACAAGCTAGGATAAAAACCTTCCAGAACCAAAAACACAAAATAACATTTTCGTTGTTTCTAGTCTGTTTGTGTTTCATAGTTATAATAATTCCGCAAACTAGCATCCAACTTATAAACTATTTCACTTCAATTCCCGTCGATCTAATTCTCAATATATACAGCATTACTGAAGTCGTTTATCTTATGAATTTTGTAATCAACCCTATAATATTTACATACAATAATGGATACCTTATGGGAAAATTTCAAAATGTGCTTGCTGTATTCAAAATCACCCAAAAATAAATTATTCTAAAAATCAGCTGCAAAATTTTGCTACGAAATTAGCTTGAATCGTAAGGTTTATTAACCCAAATAATTTCAATGAAATTGTCACTAGGATTGAATTCTATCATTTTGTTCTTAATACGGTGTGGGGGATATTTTTACAAAAAGTCTCAAATTTCAATTAAAATTTTTCTGATTTTATTGCGTTTAATGATTTCATGTAACTACTGCTCCATAGATTTTAAAAGACAGTGGAACATTCGGCAGATACGAGCAGTCTTGTTGTTCTGACTTTCGCAACGAAAGTAACGGAAAATTTGTGCTCGGGTGGGTATTTTTCTTTCGATAAATTTCGACTTTTTAAATAGCCATTTTTGACGGATTTTTTTTATATCATTCAAAAGGTATTGTTCTTTTGAGCTTAAATTTGAGAAGATATTTCACCTGTGATCATCTTTCGTATTGTTATGGGGGTAGCGTAGATTGCGATTTCGGCCAATTTGGGACAATTAACGCTCGATATATTTCACGCTATTAACGCGTACGCGGAGATTTCATCTGTCACAGAAATGGTTACTAGGGGCGAAATTTATCACTGTTTACTTTAGATGGCGTGTGGGGGGATGATTTTCACTAAAGAAACTCAAATAAAAAAAAATATTTTCCATTCAATTTTATACTTCTAATTTTTTCTTGTTATCAGTGCTCAAAAGACCTTGAAAGGCAGTCGTATTATTCAGGGCTTCGCCTTGATGCGAGCTGTCTTGTTCCATTAATAATTAAGGCAAGCAATTTGACTTTTCAGTACGTCCCCAGACGCAAAATATGGGAGAGTAAAATTAAGAAATAGCCTGAACATCAATTCGAAGTTTCATTTTCGGAACATGTCCTTAGACCACCTGTATATTTACGATGTTACTATAACTTTTTAACATGCATGTTAGGCTCGTTCTGGGTCCCGTTAATGTAACGATTCAAAAACTTAATTACCAGTACTGTATTTTTATTTTCAAACCCAACCAAGTGGTGTGTTTAGTGGAACATCAATACACTCTCATAGTTCGTTCAAAGTTCAAATTCATGACATTTGTCCCAAATTTCGCTATACATGTATGGCTTTACCCTGATAGGAGCAATTCTGTTGTACATATGTCAGTTTTAGCCTATATTTGAGACTGAATCTAGATCTACCCCTTTGTTTCGATCTAACCCCTAAAAGATGTCGGAAGAAACGAGGCGTAGGATTTGTTTGTTTTCACCCAAGTATAGTGTTCTCAAAAAACCTGAAGGGCTCAATTGTGGTATCTTATTAAAGCACTTTCAACAGTTGTTCGTGATGAGCTGAACGGGTCTAGGACAACAAGCCGACGGGACTTCAAGCCGAAGGGAATTCAAGCCGAAATTAAAACTTTACAAGCACCCCAAAACGCTTTTTTATCATCTGCAAAATGTCGCTTTTCTAAAATTTTGGCAAGTTAATGCATAATAAGCGTTATTCATGACAATGCACCACTTCTGATTCGCATGCGTAAATAACATCAGCCGGTTTTTGAAATGCATAAATTATAACCATGAAAAAAGCCTTCAACCATGTTTTACTTTTCAACTTTCCGGAACATCATTTGGAGGCTTAAATTATATGCAAACGCCAATAACTAGTGAAGAAAGATCATGAAATTCAAAAATTCTTCAAAAAAGTTTTCAAATTTTTCATATTTCACGACTTCATAAGGAATTATTCGGCTTGAAGTCCCTAATTTTACAATTCGGCTTGAAGTCCCGTCGGCTTGATGTCCGGCACCCGAGCTGAACAGCTCGTATGTTTGTCTTTTCCTTCTTGGATAAATGGTCTTAACTACACTTAATATTTTTCAGCCTATCAGATTTGTTTCAGGAAATTTGGACTGGACCGCCTGATGCAAACTGGAGCTTTTATTTCAACTTCCGAAAGTCTCATTCTACAATTATGTAAAGACGCAAAGCATCCTGCTTTCCGATCGCTTCAGAAGTTGATTTTGAACCCGACTTTGGACACTGCACTGTTGAGTAACATTGAAGACATGAGAGTCATTAAAGAATGAAATATCTAGATTCTTCTAGAATATTCCCAAATGCCTTAAGATGTTTTATCCTGAAATTTGTACTGGTATTGATGGGGATCATTAATTTTTTTAATGAGTTTAATGTGCCTTTAATTTAATAGTATTCCAGAATTTTGATTTTGACACAAGATGCCGGGGCTATTTTGATGTTTTGTTGTATTTTTCTAGTATTTTCATGCTATTTCTTTTATTGGAAAGATTTAGAAGATTTAAAGAAACATTAATTTAAAATCTAGAAGTAATATTTGTTTTGAAGGGATTTGCAGTAAGTTTTACAATAACCGCTCAGAAAATTATACAAAAATTTTAAAGTCACCAAGTTTATCACACACGAAAAGTACTCAAATAGTTTACAACTGAAACGCTTTAAGTTTACAACTAAAATGCGTTACGATTTCATTGAAATTATTTGGGTTAATAAACCTTACGATTTAAGCTAATTTCGTAGCAAAATTTTGCAGCTGATTTTTAGTATAATTTATTTTTGGGTGATTTTGAATACAGCAAGCACATTTTGAAATTTTCCCATAAGGTATCCATTATTGTATGTAAATATTATAGGGTTGATTACAAAATTCATAAGATAAACGACTTCAGTAATGCTGTATATATTCAGAATTAGATCGACGGGAATTGAAGTGAAATAGTTAATAAGTTGGATGCTAGTTTGCGGAATTATTATAACTATGAAACACAAACAGACTAGAAACAACGAAAATGTTATTTTGTGTTTTTGGTTCTGGAAGGTTTTTTTCCTAGCTTGTCGTTTGGCCGCCTGATTGGCTAGTTTCGCTTTCTCTGTTCTGATTGGTCGAAATGAAGGACCACTCCGTCTCATCGAGATTGTCAGGTGGTTTTTGTCCCCTGAGTCGGCCGAGCTGTCCTTTCTAAAAAAAACTAATTTTTCAAACTAACCAAATTTCAAATTAAAAGTAATAGATGATTTGCGTTTAATGTGCGATTTGCAATTTTGTTCCAATAGATGCTGTAAAAACTTTTAAATCTTGATGTGCAAAACCAGGAAAAAAAGAAAACTTGAGCACTTTAATTGACCTTTTAAGGACAAAATTTATTTTTTTGTTAGTATTGTGAGCTACCATGAGTTTGATAATTCGTCCCGTATCTGCGATTGTTGCAAGCCTCAGCATCCAAATAAATTAGTTTTTTCTTCATTTATTTCCGCTTAAATGAGCATGTAATCAAAGAAATCTTTCTTCTTCCATGCAATTGGATCTCATCAAAATGAAATTAGATTTTTCCGATTCAATTAAATCTTCAAGACCTTATTTCATCTCAATTTAATTATGCCCCCAAATCGGTCATTTTAAACTTGAGTGAAACACGAGGAAACTTTCTAAGACTCGAATTAGACTAAGCTTAATTAGAGACTCGATTAATCAGCAAAGTTAAATCTCCCTTGCTGACCTTAATAAAATAATTTGAAGGTTTTTTTGCCCTAATTCGGAAGTCTGCAATAAAGAAAAGAAAAATTAACTTGCTTGACTCTGATTGGTTAAAATAATAGCGATACTAACTCAATTTTTTATGACAACTTTGTCAATAATTTTTTCAGCAAATGATTCGATTTTAATTGACCATGGCATTAAAAAACAGGTTTTTTAATACGAGCTCTAATTGAAGAAATGAGGGAACTGAGATGATTGCATTAGCCATGCATTCAGGTATAATAATGCTAGGGTGCCAAGTTCACCGTATCAAAATGATCTGAATAATTTGAACTCACTGAGTTATGGTCATCTTCTGTGAATCAGTCTCGTGTTTCACTCCCCTCTCGTCCACCCTGGACCCCCTGGGGGAGCAGCCTCCGAAACTGATCGCGTCCACATCTATGTCCATGTCATAGTCAGGGTCAAGGTCATTATCAGGGTCTGCATCTAGTCCGAAGTGACTGGGCCCAATTGAGATGCCGTCGTGCTCTTCCTCTGCTGCTTGAATTTGATCGACAACTTTGACCTGAAAATGACCAAAAACATAACAAGACTGCTCGTATCAGGGCGAAGCCCTGAATGTTCCGATTGCCTTTTAAGGTCTATGAAGCGGTAATAACATGAAAAAACTAAATATAAAAAAAAAGAAAATAAAATGAACAAAATTTTGTTAAAAAAATTGAGATATTTTGTGAAAATCATCCCCCCACACGCCATATAAAGTACAAAGTAATAAATTTCGCTTCTAGCAACACATCAATTATGGCAAATAAGCTTCTTCCAACCAATTTGGAACGATTTCTAAGACAGATTAAATCTCCGCTTACCCGTTAATAGCGCGAAATATTTCTCGCGTTAATTGTCCCAAATTGGCCAAAATGACAATCTTTAAACCCCCATAACTTTACGAAAAATGATCACAGGTAAAATATCTTTTTCAAATTTAAGCTCAGGACAACAATGACTTTTGAATAGTATAAAAAAATTCCGTCAAAAATGGCTAGTTATAAAGCCGAAATTTGTCTGAAGAAAAAAAAACCCACCCGAGCACAAATATTCCGTTAATTTCGTATCGAAAGTCGGAACAATAATCATAATAATAATTATAAGAGTAATGACGCCTTAGTATATTAAGTATTGTGTGGGAGATCACCATTGGATTTGTAACATATAGATTTAAATTGTGTCAATTTGGGAATTTTTTTACGTAGTTTTTAATCTGAGTCACATCAGCAGTTTTTCGGGTGTAAGGATGATAGTTGGGTCTCTAAAATTAAGCCGTGTCCCGATGAAAATGGTTAGTTCTTGAAATCTTCAAAAACCTTGGTTCTCATTTGCTTACTTGCGTTTTTGAAGTTGTCAAAAAAGTTACGTGACCCATTTTTTTTACATTTGCTTTTTCCTGAGACCTAACTAACATACTTGTACCGTTTTCCGTTATGAGCTGAAATGCTCGTATGTGTAGGTATTTCCCCTTGAAAACAAACGATCCGTATCTAACCTTAGTTGAAAAGTAGAGGGAAATTAGCTGGAAAGTTATTAAGCTTTGAAATTGGGTAGATTCAAATTTCACCTCTACAAAAATTGGTTTCCATCTCCGGCACTATTGTCTCGTCTAACAACCTTGTACCGAATATTTTTTATTTTAAAAGTTTTAAAATATCAAGGCACTACTATGATAGAATGGTCCCGCGAGAAAGCAACTAGGATATACAGGTCCCGCATGTTTTTCGCATGTAATAATTTGAAATCTAATTTGTGTATAAATTATTCATATCAAAATTCTCGCGAAATATTTTGAGTCAGATACTTCTCAGATTAAAATTTAAGGTGTCCGTATTGTTTATATCAAGAAATTTGTTGGCCTCAAGTTTTTGTTTACGATTTAACAAACAGGCCCCAATTTAACAAAGTTTTTTTTTCGATTTGAAAAACGGGGTTACCTTATTGACAGGCCCCGGGTTTTCGCTAAGTAATAAACAAACGTTTTAGTTCACTAAATGGTTCCTTAAAAACCATCGAAATAGTTGAATAAAAGCTAATTCAAACTACCGTTTTTTCAAAAATAACAGCAAAAAATCAATCATTTTGAACGAATTTTTGTTTAAAAATGTAGAGAGTCTGAGAGATAATCCAGTTATTTCATCCAAGTATTACGTTGTAACACTCACCACATTTTCATTTTTGTAGTTTAAAGCATCTTATCAACTCCCTGCCATATGATCACGGCCTTGATGAAGATGTCAATGTTGGCGTATGATTTTGTAAAAAACTGTCGGTTTTCTGGTAATTTTCAACAGAAATATTTAATTTTAAGCGCGTCTCTCTGATTAGTGCATTTTCTCCATTTTCTCAGAAATGGTTTGTCAACAACGAAAGCTAGTTATTACTAAATTCGGGGCCTGCTTATTGATCGTCCAAATTCAATTTTGGGGACTTATTTTGAGTTTTTACCTTAGAATGGCGAGGGGAGATCCTAAGAAATAACGAAACAAGAATTGTTTGAATATATACTGCGAAATTTTTGTGAATGACAAACTCATAATTATTCAAGAAATTGAGATAGCTCTAGGCGTCATATTCTTAAGGGACTTGGTTATTTTCAAGCGACCATTGTATCATAGTAGTACCACATATCAATAAAGATTCGTTAGCTACTAAATATCGACCAACTCAATGCATAAAATGCCGTGAATTGTACCATTAATGATTAAAAAAATTTTCCTTTGTTGAAATTTTGTTTGCTAGACAAGCGATCTCTTTATAAATCATTTAAATATTTCGATATTTCTTTTGACTATTAGTGTTTTTATGTAAGCTTACCTTCTGTCTAACGTAATCTGGCGACATTGCGTAATCAGTTGGTCTTGCGCAATCCTTGAGCGTTGCATAATTAGTCAATGTTGCGTCATAGTGTATTTCTATCGGATAGCAGCTTTCAGTCGGATGCTCAGCCCCATTAGTTATCGGACACAGCGTAATTCTTATGTCATGCGTTTCTTCACATTTTCTCGAAATCAGTAAAGGTTCAGTGCTGGTTTTCATTGCAAGGTGACATTTGTTGTGCTCAGTGTGGTTGCCTTTTTGAGTTTTCCCTTTTGAGTTTTCCTTGCGGTTGCAGCTGACGTGTTTTCGGTAGAAGTGGACAGGTTTCAGCATCGGAGCCCAAAATGGCTGTGAGAATTGATCGGAAATGGCGGAGTAGACCCCTAAAATGGGGTAATTTGCTTCAATTTTACAATCAGAGTCTTGTTTTAAGCAGAGCGGCGGAAGCTCTGGCTACTCCTCGCCTTTTAATTGAAAGTTCCTTACTTGGCATAAATAGAAAATAAGCAAAAAATCCATAAAAAAACTAAAATTCATGTAATTCTCAATCAAAGACAACATCGGTTCTCTGAAAAGAGCTGAACAACTCTTAATTTTTTTTTAAATTTGGGGTATTTAATTTTTTCATCTCTCTCTCGGTGTATTCAGATGGCGCCTCCGAAGCCTCAGAAACAATATACAATTCCGATTTTCGTTGGTGCTTAATTTGATTTTTTTTCTTCAGTTTATGAACTAAAAAACATTGTGTGTCACTCTTCTTCTTCGATAAGCATTTTCCGATAATTTTAAGTTGCCGAATTTTTTTATCCTTTATTTTTTTCCTGGAGTTTTTTGTCGATTGTCTTACTATGATCAAATAAATTTACTGGGAAATATGCTTGATTATTTATAAATAAACTTTTCTTTTAATCTTTTTTTTCTCACAATCTTTGATTCTTACCGTATTCTGATTAAATACTTCGCACTAATGGAACTAATTGACTACTAGTTTTGTCTGACGTATTTTTGTGTCACGGAAAGTCATTAGAAAAACCAATGTTTTGACCATTAATTGGGTAAAAACTTAAAAAGTTTGCTTAAACTATTTTTCCGCACAAATTGCGGAACCATTAAAAAATTGCAGATAGTGTTAAGTCAAATGTTATTTTAAAAAAGAATTGTGATTCAATCGTTGTAAAATCGTTTCTGGAAATTTTGATTGCAACAATTAAAGCAATCTATTAGGGCATCAGCTCTTAATAGTGTTGAAAAAACTGGTTCCCAATGCGTTTCTGAGTAAAAGTAAAAAAAATCGTAAATTCTATAAACGAATCTGAAAAATTTGAAAAAAAGAAACATTTTTTTTTGAAACTGGAAAAATATCGTTGGATTTTAGAAATTTATTTCTTTTTTTTTGCTCAAGGTTAGTGGCCGGAAATTTTTGAGCTTCTTGCGCAGAAACCGGCAATTCTTTTTAAGATCGTTTTTGTAAGTTTTTGCTTTTTCTTGTTAAGTTTTAGTGTTTAGTGTTTTTCATTTACGATGTTAGCTTTTAATCTATCTATTATATATTTAAATGCGGGCTTCACTATCTCGCCATGTTTAAGCTTTTTCAACGTATTATTTTTGCATGTTTAAGCTATATCGTATATTGCAATGGTTAAGAATTTTTTTTCGATTTTCCAATTTGATTTTAGTGGTTTTTTTTATCGAGCCTAAATTAAACAGCCCAATATCGAGTTAGGGGTATCGAATTTGGCCTCCAATTTTTTGAATGGCCGAATCATTTTAGTTAACGAGATAAGACAAGATTTTTGAGATTTTTTTCAAAAGTTTCAGAAATTTCAAATAACAAATAAATTTACAAAACTTGAAGTTCCCAACTCTGTAGTTGGGTGCTGTCAGATTACTCTAAGGAGTTATAAATCTTGCCTCTAAATATGACTGTTCAAATCCTTGTAGTTTTCGAGATATGACGTTTTTTGTGATTTTTTCAAAAAAATTTCAGAGAACTTATATTAATTTTTTTTCGTAAAATCTGAAATTACCAACCCTGTACTTGGGACCTGTCAGAGTAATCTCAAAGATTGTAAATCTTGCCTCCAAATATGACTACTCAATTCTTTGTAGTTTGCGAGATGTGACGTTTTTTGTGATTTTTTCGAAATTTTCAGAAAACTTAAATTATGATTAGTTTTTAAAAATCTGAAATTTGCAAACCTGTAGTTGGGTCTTGTCAGAGTACTCTCAACAATTGCGAATCTTGCCTCCAATTAAGACTGCTCAATTCTTTGTAGTTTGCGAGATAAGTTTTTTTTTGTGATTTTTTCAAAAATTTTCAGAAAACTAATTAGTTTAAATTAATTATTTTTCAATCAAAATTTGAAGTTTCCAACGCTATAGTTTGGTGTTGTCAGGGTACTCTAAAGAGTTGCAAATCTTGCCACATGCGACTGCTTAACGCGACTGCTCAAATGCTTTTAGTTTTCGAGATAAGACGTTTTTTGATTTTTTCAAAATTTCTCGAAGAACTTATCTACTAAGAAATTCAAAAAATTTGAAACTACTAACTTGATGAAGATACAACCTTTTTGTCAGCGTACACACAGGCATCTCAAATCTTGCCTCTTAATATGAATGCTCAAATGCTTTCAGTTTCCGAGATAGGACGTTTTTTTTTCAATTTTTTTTTCGGTTTAAAAAAATTCACAAAATTTTGGATTCCTAACCCTATAGTAGGGAGCTCTCAGGGACTCTCAGTGGTTGCAAATCTGGCCTCCATATTTCTCCAGAGGCCCATTAAGTTTTCGAGATTCGAGATGACGCTTTTAAAATGGGAATTAAAAAAATTAAAGGTTCGAAATTCAGTCAGTCAGAGTACACTAAAAGTTTGCAAATGTTGTTTCCAATATATGCGGTTTTTCATGAGCTGTCGAAAAATTTCGAAGCACCGAAGGTGCGTTAAACGCTAGTTGTATTGAAAAGCTTTAAGCCGACTGTGTTGGGATTTACATCAGACATTTACCATGATATTTTTGCGGCCAAATCGAAAAATTATGAAAATAGATAAAAGAGTAGCTCCTAACTACATGCCTGCTGGTGATTGTGAGACATTCAGCTGTTTCAGCTTTTAACAGTCTCATTTAAAAAATAGATAATTAGTTTTAAAAATTTTAAAGTTACAAAGTCTAGTGGAGTGGGGATCCAGCACTTCTGAAAGGTATTTAAGATTGAACTTTGTTTTAGGATGTGTGATTTTTTTCTTGCTATAAGCAAGTTTTTATCAAATCGAAACATCAAATTTTTTCTAACTTGTCTAACAGAATCCTTGAATCGTTCAAATATGTGCTTTCATTAATCTACAGACTCATTTTGAGTTTGTCGACATTTTAGTAGCCGTTCGAAAGTCGTTTTTTTTTTGCTGGTTGTGTTTTTACCAACTGCGATTTGATATATTTTCAGTATCTATTCTTTTGGCCTGAAAGGTTTCGTCTTAGATAATATCGGTTTAGTCGACTTATTTTGCGTTATTTGATGAGCTAAAAAAATTCTGTGAACGCATTTAGAAATAGTGTTCGTTCCGACCATTGAAAATGAAGAGGAACTTTGTATTTATTTGTTTTTTTCTTTGTTGTTTTCCACGCAAAATTAGGCGCCACATATATTCATCGGAATGGGTTAAGAGATATGTCATATTGAAGCTCTTTCACATTTTTTTAGAACGAAGTTATAAAAGTTTGTAAAAGTTCGTGTCGAGAAAAATCAGTTTGAATTTTTTTGATTTTAGTTTTAATTTCGAGCGAATAAAATGAGCGAGCGGGCAAGTTTATTTTGTTTTTCAATCAAAACCATTTATAACAATTAAGCAACGTTTTGTAGCGAGTGATTAATATTTTTAAAGCTCTTTTCAATCCTAATTCGATCGATATTACAAAATTTTCAAAAAATTGTCCGAGTGTCGAGAAAAACCGGTTTGGAATTTCAATTTCGAGCGAGTAAAGTAAGCGAGCAGCCTTATTATAGAAGGATAAGCCATGAAATATCAGTTTTGCTCCAGTTTCCAATTTTCTGTCGGCTAGTTAGCTATGCTAATTTTATTTGGTATTTCAAGTGACGGGAAGCTCCGCCCGCCTGTGTGTCTATAGATATGTTTTTTTTGTAACTACGAATAACTTGACCCGATGTAAAACGCACTTAAAATTTTCTATTCATAAATAATTGTTTTTCTTTCAGCTTAACCATTTATCGGTTTTCTTTTTATCTATTTTGAGTACATTTGTTAGTAATTTATCATTAAAGTGAAGTTGAAGCTTTTGGTCAAATAAGTGCTTCAAAGATCATGGGAAACTTTCAAGCAATACAACAAATTGGGTCGCGTTATTTTTAGGGAGTTTTAGTGAAGCGTTTAAAAAAAAACGTTTTATATTTAAAGTACTTTTATCTTTAATTTAGAGGGGTGGAGATTGTCTAGGAGATAGCACACTACCCCCTCCCCCATGCTATTGTTAAGTAGATCCGTGTCATAAACTTACCAAGGAGAACTGCACAGCACAAAAGGACGAGAAAGACGCGTGAAAAGAGCCAGTAGTCTTCATACCAAGGCCACATGCCCTTACACACCACAATCTCCCCCACACTGTGCAAAAAAGAGAGAAGGACAATAGTCGCGAGCAGGGCTCGAACCCTTGACTTGGAGAAAATGGTGTTGTAGTCGTGACAGTGTCGCACAGCTACGTAGCGGTTGATGCTGATTGAAATGATGAGGAAAAAAGAAGCGGTTGTTAGGAATGTGTAGAGGAAATATTGGAATATACACTGGCCGATTAGAGGGAGTTGGATTAGAAGTTTCACCATGGTAGATTTGATGAGGAATATAATTGCCATTATTGTATCGAGAAGAGCATTTGAAATTACCAGAAGCTCGCTCACCTGGAAAATAATCAGTTAGTCAACTCAGTTATTTGTTATTTCTCTACTATAATCGATCTTATTAACGAGATAACTACATCTTCATACATGATTGAAGTGCTTTTTTTAAAAAGTTTGCCAATTATAATTTGTTGACTGAAGTTGCATTTTCAATTCTTTATTTGCAAAAATTTGAACTAATTTTTTTCAAAAATTAAACGTAAATTCATGAAAAAAGAGCTGAAAAAATGCCCTGGTAATTGTAAGTTGAATATTGCTAGCTCAAAGTTAAGGGTCATTTTGGATTTTCTGTAGTTTCATCCCCTTTCTTGCCCACAGAATTAGTATGTGAATAAAGGAGTCCAACTTCGAGTTTTCACTCGGAACTTTCATCTTTGCCTACTTGAAGCTTTCGAACCGTCATTACTCTTAAAATTGATCTCAAGTTTATAATTTCTCAAATCTTTCAATAATTTTTTTTCTCAGAAAAGGCTCATTTTCTTTTGGCAGATCCTTTTCGTTATTTGACACACTGCTTTATTTGGGTCTTTTTGATTGACAATGCTCTTTTCCCTCTAAATCCAATTTTGGAAGGGAAACTTGATCAATTTTCAAATTTAAAAGTGGCTTGGTTTCCGTTTGTTTCAACCCCCCGAGAGCAAGGCAAAAAGACGATCTCTCTTTGTTTATTGGACTTAATTGAGTTATAGTAAAAATGGCGTTTAACCTTTTAGTCTTTTATCACAATCACCAGTGAACAAAAAAGGCAGTGATTTCTATCTTCTCGCTAGCTGCCTTTCGACCGGCTTGATAGTTTCGCCCACGATCGTTTGAAAAGATACAAGACCCATAATGGTACAAAGATATTTTTTGCTTTGATCACATAATCAGGCTTGTTCAAGACAAAAGAATCTGTTTGATAGCCTGAAGAGTCCATCGTTTGATTTACAAAATTTTATTTTCGAAGGCGTCTTAAGGGGTAGAAAGAATGGCCAGGCCAGAAAAGCGACAGGCTCCCAATGAAATATTTTCTGTTTGTTTTAAAATGTTCCACTGTTCAACTATCAGAATGCCAATTTTTTGGCGAAGATTTCAAAATATTTGTTTAACTGAGGATGGCTTGTATTATTGAGGATGGCTTGCATTATATGTGATGCAAGCTTCATAACATTGCATTGACCTTTGAAAAAGAATATTTGACGGTCATTTTATAAGATTGATACATATTGAAGCAAGTTTCATTAACAATTTGAAAAATATATATAATTAAGAACTAAAGACACATTTGTTTCTAAGTACCATGAACAGGGGATTCATAAATGGATCTTTCATTAGGTGTATTTTTCCTCGAATCGATTTTTATTGAAATTTCAAGAATATTGAAGAATTGTCGTCGGAACTTACGACTCGTTTTTTCTTCATAAGCAGCAGCACAAAAATGGTGAAGTTTTGAATAGCAGCCACTGTTCCGAGAATTGCTTTGAGGCTCGTGATCAAAATATCCACAGTTGATGATTCACGCACGCCCGGTGACGCCATTGGAGGTTGTTCTAGAATATTCGAGCTCACGCTGAGGTTGAAATTGATACCGTCTGATGACATTTTGCCGAAGTTTCAAACTTTCGTCTTCGAGGTAACTAGAAAGTCAAAATATATGTTATGCTCCGAAATGTAATTTTTCAGAGTAAATCGTTATTTTTGGCACATTTTTTTAAACAAAATGCCGCCTGCCTAGTAAGAGTGTTACAGTAAAGCTCAAAATTTGAGTGTTTTAGCAAAAATTTGATGCCGTTGGGTTGCTTGTTAAAATAATTATTTGAGGAAAAATTTTTCCTTCCTAAAAATGCAACCAAGATCACAGAAAAGCTTGTAATTGAAGCTTACTTATTAGCACCGATAACCAGCGAAGCTTAGATCACATGTATCTAATGAAATCAAGTCGAATGGCGTGGAATTTTTCAAACATCATTAGTAAGGTATAATCACTCTTGGGTCTACTTGGTCTTTTGGAAAACTTTTTTGTGCTATTTTCGTTCTTCAAAATAAGAGTTTATGGATGAATTACTTAGGCGAAAAGAACTAAATTAGTAATATGAACTGTGACGTACCGAACCAAATTAGTAAAATGAACGAAAAAAAAAATATATATATGTTTGACAAAAAGTAGTACAATTTGGTAAAACTTTTGAACTTTTCTGCCAAACAGAAAATATCAAAGAAGCAAAAGTTGTTATACCATTACAAAGATCAATATTTCTTAAAAAGTAGAAACAGATAAATCTGTGAACTTTTAATTGAAAGCAAAACGTAAATAAATGATTTAGTTAAAATGGTATGATCTTTAAAAATTTTAATCGCAAATTGGTTGTTATATAGTAGCTTTTTTGACGTCTCCCAAATTGGATCTCCAAGCTTTTTTCAAGTTTTTCCCTTTTATCTGAAGAAATTGTGAGGCTTGAATCTAAAAGACATTATTAAATTATTATACAACTAATTGTTATCGTTAATAATTCAGCATGAGTTCAAGGAAAACTATATCGTTGATTATTTGACATTCAATGAAAGTTTTTGGTTAAATACTCAAAGTTAAAATCAAATGGTTATTAATAGTTTGAGTTAGTATTTATTTTTAGAGCTTAATATTAGCTTGAATTTAAAAAACCAAACAAGTCTCCGGCTTCTAAAAAAGAACGATAAGAGAGATTAAAGGCATTAGTTAACCAGCCAACCGCCTTTATTATGTTTTCTTGATGTAGATATTACTTTTGATGTTTGATTTTGTTTTTTAAATACACTAAAACTAATTTCTTTTTGAAGTTTTCAGTATGATGTCTTTCTTGAAAAAATTGGATTTGTTTATTTTATGATATGTTATGTTTTGATTTAATGTATAATATATGATTCTTGTTTATTCCTCTTTTGCTGGCCTTTTTCACTGCAGGGCTTTAGTAGAGAGGGGTGGAAGGAGGATTTAGTGTCTTATATTATGCCGTAGCCGTTACCACCGTTAGGATGCGGATGACATTGCAAACCCTCCGACTAAGACCGAAGGGGGATTTGACCCTCTTCTACTTTTATGCCTACAAATAGTTAATCAAACCGCATCAATAACTAAACTAAAGCTTGTTTTTTTTTGTAATATGGCAGCACTTCTGATTTAGTCCAACCTGGTTGAAGATGTAGCTAGTTTTTTCATCTCATCGCACTAGGCACCTCAATTTTTTTCTGTGTTTGTTTAATCATTCAATCTGTGGATTAAGTCAAAATATCTACGCCTGATATTTTAAGTTTTTGCTGAGCGTAATTAGGAGCCTTAGTCATGATGAGTAGTTTTTGCGTTATTTAAAGGCTGGTTTGCTTTTTCTGATTTCGTTTTCGAAATGTATGTAGAATAACATTTTTCAATAGCTTAAATAATGAGATATATGATTTTCAATTTTGAGTTGTTACTTGGTAAGCACCAAATGTTTTACTGGTTGATCAAAATTACTCTTGATGCAATTGTCTCGAATTGGCTCAGTTTTGAAAAATTTTCTCCCATTTAGTTTTGGAAGTCGCCGCTCATTTGTCTGAAATTTCACGAAATAGGCAAAATAATTTATACACTTTGGGTTTTTTCATTGCTGAGCGCATAACGACTGGAAAGGAGTTAACTTGGAATGTCAATCAACTCCATACGACGTCTTTTTGGTACCTCGTTTAGCGCCGAAAAGACTACACCCGAATCCACTGTTCCTCTAAGCTTTCAGTAGCAGAAAAAAGCGCGTTAGGAATCCTGAAGTAAAATATTACACGGACCCATTTAAAATAGATCAACAAAAGCCGGCTAATGAGTGGCTAACGGAGAATGTGTCAGCTTCAATTATTTTTTGAAAAATCGATTGTGTTAATGTTATTTACTGATGTTTTTTGTTGTTTTCAAGGGCGTGGTGTGAGATGTGAGATATTTACAAGATAGTTAGATTCGGCTCTTTTTCCTTTTCACCCCAACTGCAAATTTTTGTAGCCTAAATTACTGTTCACATTTTCCGATTGTCAAAAAAATTGACATGCAGACTAATAGGGCCATGAAAAACATATTTCGTCTTCATTATCAAGCTTGTTAACTCACTCGGTAGACCATAAAATTGATGCTCGTGTGGGGTGGGCGGAAAAGGAAAAATAGCCTTAGATTCTATGTGTACCAAGTAAGCGAGACCGAATTTCGAAAACAATTAATTGAAACTTCAAAGCGCGTTCGGCCAAGCGGTAAAGAAGTCATTGGTTTCAAGAGCAAAAGGTCGAAGTTCAAATCTGAACCCAAGCGATAATTGTTTAGGTAGGTGTAAATGGTTTGAGTTTTTTTGTATTTGAGTTTCCTATAGAAAATTATGGTCTTTTTGCACAGTTGCGCGGCCCTATAAATTCAATCCTTCTTGTTCTAAAATTTAATGAAAATAATCCGGTTTTTATCTAGGTTGGCAATTTGGTGGACACTTTTTGGTCAATTTTGGAACAATTTTGTCTGGGAACCAAATGTCTTGGTCACTTTTTGAATTTCGGACAGTTTTGTCCGGGTCATGTCTTGGACACAATTGTCCAGACACGAGTTGTATATCTGCCTCGTCCGGGTTCAGAGGCAGGTCGGTTTTGGGTAGCTTGCTGATTGACATTTAACCGTAATTAACTGAAGTTACAAGTCAGCAAAAAATGACAAATTGCCGTATATTTCAGCAATTGAAATCAGATTCAATGACATAATATATGCAGAAAATTCGAAAGTCACGACCTTTTTGCTTCGGTTTTGCTTCGGTTAATTCGAGTGAGGAGAAGTTGTTTTATTAATGGTCATTTAGAGGGTGAAAATAGTTTTTGATGAGGTTTTGTTCTAGGGAGGGTAACAATTTGGAGTAGCTTTTGTTTGTAAATTTTTTGTAGCTTTAAATATCTAAATATCTTGTGACACTTTTTTCGACTCAATTGAAGTCTATCCACGCATTGTCTGACTAATTACCGCTTGTTTTCCAGTTCTAGTTTCATTCTGGGCTTTGCGTTGCTTGATTTTCTCACTGAAACTGAAAGTCGTACGAGACATGCATTGAAGTTTTTAGATGTAATTTTTTCGATTGCTTTGCGTCTATCCCCTAGCTTCACAATATTTTGTTAGTAGAACGCCGTTCAAAGGAAATATTATTTATTGTCTGGTTATGGGTGAAAAAAATAAAGTTATGGGAAAAGAAAAAGATAAAGTTCATGTTAGTGGTCGGAACATTAAATTGGAAACGTTAACCTTGAAGTCCACTGAGTTTTATGAGTCAGTTGGACAAAAGTTATTCCTGCGTCGATGAACAAATTTGTTCTCATTTTAAAATTTAAGAAAGCAGCTTTTTTCTTGCTAAATCCCATTCTCACAGAAATTATATTCCTCAAACAAGAGTCTGAATTTTTTTTTGCAATTTTTTTCTACTACCGAGTTTGAAAGTTAGGAAGAATTGACATGTTATATTTGGAAAGTATTTCAGTTAATACTTCAATTTTGATAAAAAAAAACAACCCATATTCCTCAAATAGATAATTTTATATAACTTACATTGCCTCTGATGGTTGAGTTGTTTCGAAGTTTTTGTGTCACTTATGTAAATGTTGTCCTGCAGTTGCTTAAGTCCAAAGTTATTATAGCTTCAAAGTTTGCTATAGGTAGTTGATTTCAAAAGGCGAACTGTCTGAAGTTAGCAAAAAAATGGTTTCTGTGCTAATTTTTAGTTCAATTTCGCTCTGCTGTTTTTATGTTCCACGTTTTTGATGTTTTTAATCTTCGTGATATGTGTAAATTTTCTATAATAAACAGGTAAATTTAATTGTTTTTGAATTGGTGTTGATGACTGTTGATAGCTGGTAAGAAAATGAATAATTTGTTCTTCGTCTCTCTAGCTTCATCGGTGGTAAATGAAAATTGAATGCGTAAAAAGAACCAATCATGAAGCTTAAATTTGCGGGAACATTTTTCTAATAATTTTTCCGTTGAATTATTCATTAAATCGCCACGCTCGGCAGATTGATCAAGAAATCCTTAATTGGTCAGCTTAGCGAAAGTGATTGATTTGTTATTTTCATCAACATAATTCTTTTCTGTTTAATCTTGAAAATATTATGAAAACTGGAAAATAATATTTTCGCAAATGTCTGTTTTGCAGTAGCCTTGCGCGAAAAAGTTATTTTGCTGAAATTGGAAAATCCGAAAAGAATTTTGGGCCAATATTTTTTTGTAATTGTGGGCAGAAATTGTGTTTCGTTTTTAGTTAATTCAAAAATATGCAATCAATTGAAGCGAATTTGAAATTTCATTAAAACATCTTTTCAAGACTATAGTGATAACTCAGTCTTATTTGTCTTTTTTAATTCTCTTCTCTGGTTAATCAAGAACTGAATGTACTTGCAGGTATATTCATAATCAGTTAGTTTTGTATTATAATTTAATGAGCAATATTTTAAAAGGTTTAATCGCCCGAAATAGTCAAATTTTCTGATTATGAAATTCTAATAAACGTGATTGAATTTTTTAGTTTTCAATAACTTGTACATATATCGAATATTTGAATCTTTATTTTCAGAATAAATTGAAAAAAAAAATCAAAATTGGGAGACGCTGATCTGCGTGTGTGGAAGCAGTGACCTTGCTTCAGTAGCAATTTTTTTAGTGTGATTTTTGACCTAATTTCCTCTATGGAACTATTTTACAACCTTGTAAATTCAATTCAGTAAATATTTTCCCTCGTCTTATTTCTTATTAGCGAGCATTTGGCTGTCGGAAGTTAATGACAGTTTGAAGTTAAATGAAGTTAAAAGTTAATTTTTGTCGCTTGGATCTAGCTCGTAATTGATACATCGGATGATCATTTATGACTGAAAAGAAGAACGTTAACTTTCAGCCGGCGAAAAAATTGGAGTTTCTTGCAATGCAATCGCAGATTAGTTTGAAATTTAAGTTTGAAATAATTCGATTCAGTGATGCGCAGATTTTAGAATTGCATTCTTTGTTAGGTGACATTTTTATAATGTAATGTTTATACCCGTATTGAAATAGTTTAATTGCGTTGCGACGAATTCTCGTTTTTTTTTTTTAAAAATGACTGAAGGTAGCTGAACTTGACAAATTTTCCCTCATCGCCTAGTTGCAATAAAATCTTCGGACTTTTCGCCGTCCTTATTTTGAAGTGTTGTCAACCAGTTCGCCTACGATGCGATGCGTCTAAAAAAGATGCAAAAAATTGTTATTTGATGTTTTTTCCTGAAGGTAAGAAATTTTTTATTTATCTGATTTTCAATTTAATTAGAGTCAAAAACCTTCGGGCTTTTAATAACCATCTAAAGTCAAGCAGACCTTTTTCGAGGTACCTTTTTCAACTTTAGTATGACCAATTGCTTCCAATTTTGGATCAATTCATTCGATACAACGGGCAGCATTTTGCAACACAGATGGGATCGATAAATGTCCCCTGATTCTTTCTGGTGCATCATTGATGAGTTTAATTTGCATATTTACCATTCACAGTGAGATTTAAATTCGTCTTCTTCGTTCACGAAATCATTTAGAAATAGACGGGGGATGGGATTGCATTTGAATGAGTTTTGATATTTTTATTGCGACTTCAAAAATAAGTGGCCAATTTTTTTCAACTCCTGAAACTGATTAATGCCCTGTGCTCAAAATGAACTTTTTTATGCGATCATTTTTCACCAAGTTACAGGGGTTTGAAAATCGATAGTTCAGCCATTTCAGGATTAATTAAGCGCACTCAAATCCAAATTTCTGCCAGGATATAGATTCAAAAAAGCATTGCCAAGTTTCGTCTTTTGGATGACTTGCTTGATATACTTAAGATTTTGGAATTACTTTGTCAGTAATTTGCTGTTTGAACGCCTGAAACACTTGCTCAAAGACTCGAGCCCTGACGAATATTTCTAAGCTATCTGAATTGACTTGATAGATTTCGAAGTTAGATAATGTATGTTCTAGATTCAAGTGTGAATTAAGAGAGAAACTTTATAGATAAATTGAGAATTAAAAACACAGTTGAACGGACTTGCTCTTCTAACTTAACCCCATGCCCAGTGAATGCCCAATGATGTCCATATAAAATAATAAAAAAAAAAGAAATTTATTTTAAACTTCTTCAAGAAACTTATAAACTTTAAGAAACTTATCAATTTTAATTTTTCCAACAATTATGTTTTTTTTTAATTTTTCTGCCATTTTTTGGTACTTTGTGCATATTTGGAAAAGAAGTGGAAAGAAATTGTTTCAGCGTATCTATTTGCAACAAAGTTCTATCAATTTTGTCGTGAAAACTTAAGTCTTGTTTGCTTTTTTGCGGAACTGTGAAAAGTTAATTTAATTTACATAACTAAATTGTGTACTTTGGCGTCGAATCGAATACCGCCCGAGCAATTTTCTTTTATATAAACTGCTCGATTTAAAATAAAATGTTTCATTTAAAATGAGTGGGTTGATAATTTCACATTTGATAATGTACATCACTTCACATGTCTGAAAAATGCGGTTTTATTTAATTGTACTGGCCAGTAGCGGATTTAGGGGGGGGGGGGGGGGGCGTACGCCCCTCCCCCTCAGGAAATCGACCCGCTGCCGACCCAAGGGAGGTATCCATTTTTGACTGACTGACCTTAAACTTTTCTAAAGGCGCCTTTGGCGCCAATATATACTAGTTTTGAAGGGGAGAGCGCGCCAAAAAAACGCAATTTTTCCTGTCAAAACTGTCAAAAAAGTGCCAAAAATATCTTTTTTTTTTAAAAAGTTTGCCTGCGGCACAGAAAATTTCGTCAAATTAGGGTCTTTATAGTGGTTTGGGAGAGGTCAGAAAATCAATTTGGTCGACCTTAATTGTTTTTTTTTGAAAATCCCACCCCTATTGAGAAGTTCCTAGATCCGCGCCTGGTACTGGCGTTTTGAATGAATTTTAGATTGAGCAGGTTCGTTTTTTTGCGATCGAGTGGAATTTTCCCAGACTAAATTTTAATTCCACCCTGGGGATGACTGAACTTAAGACATATTTGACACATGGAATTGATTTTAATGCTGTTGTTTTTGACTAATTGATATTTATAAATTCTAAGCAAAATGGCTGGCATTATTGATGTCGTAAAATGCTAAGTAGATCTGATGCAAAAATTGTAAGCTTAAAAAATGAATGAATCAAAATTGGTTTCGATATAAACCACTAGATGATGATTAGAAATGGGAACTTAAAGATATATAATATAGATTCTGCATAAAGTAAAGGCTCATTGCATGTAGAATTATGATTAGCTACACTTACTACATAATCAACTTCAATCACACCAAGTTTTCTGCACTTTTTTTGGTGATAATGAGTTGAAATATCAGATTGCCCCATCCAAAATCAGTTGAACTTTCTTCTTTTTTCCGTTTCTCTTGTCATTATTAAGTGTCTTTCAAGTTTCATATTTTTCCTTTCTAACTCGACCTTAACACTGCATCATATAAAACCACTTAATGTTAGTTCCCTATAGAGCTATAGTCAATCAAGTGGTTAAAATGGTAATGAATTGAAGAAGGCTATAGTCTAATTCAATCGAAGTTATTATAATTGCTTTTTCAACAAAACTTAATTTTTTTGTGAATATTATGGAAGTTGATTGGAATTTGATGTTTATTTTCAACCTTTACCTTTCAAACTTAGGTATTTCTTCAGAAGTGTTTTTTTTCCAATTAGATCTTGTTTGATCTAAAATGATAAAAGATGAATTTGACAGAATTCGACAGAAATTGACAGAAAGGATAACAGTGGGGTTTACATATTCTTGAGAGGTCAGGTCATAGTGAAAATAGCGTGAAACAAGAAAATGTATTGTCTTACTAATATTTAAAACATGCAAATATTGCATGATAACATGTTTTCGCTGTCAGCTTCGGAAAGTGTTGTGGATTTGGTATGGTTTTTTTCATTTTATGAAATGGAAAAAAATCAGGTTCCCATTGAAATTGATTTGTCCATAAAGATCGTCTGAGAGCGATTATTTGATTCTTCATTAAATTTTCTTGTTTCTTGAAAGATTACATTGATGAAAAAAAACATATTTTGTTTGGCTAGAGGAGCAATCGAAACTTGCACAGGTTCGCGTGCACGTAACGATGTCTATTTTCATGCGTGAAAAATCTTATCTCATCAACGCGCTTTCAACTGTCGGAAACAGACTGAATTTATTGCATATTGTTTTTCGAATTTTTGACATTCGAGCTCTAATTGGTTGACCAAGTTTTCGCGCATTCGGCCCATCGCGCTTGAATGGATTCCTTCGCAAGTAACATGTTTTTACTAGGTTCTTTCTGCGTGATAATTAGATCGGAAAATTCTTAATTGTTTGCAATTGGTTGTTTTAAATAATTTTACTGAATATTTGATTTTTGAATAGAAAATTGTGCTAGAATTGATTTTATGGAAGATTTCTTGTGTATATACGTACGTTTTTGTTCAAAATGTTGTAATTCTCAAGCAGGTTTATGTAAGATTTTTACTGCAGTGTTTTGACCAATTCTTGTTTTTTTTTCAGTATGCTATGATAATTGTTTGCTATAGTTTCGGCCAATCACTACCAGATACTTAGCCAAATTTTTACTGAAGACTGCCTAATTTTGTTTCCTTCAAAATGAGATAAACATCTTGGTTTTGTTTTGTATGTTTTGCATAAACTTCTAGATGTCAAACTACAACGACCCTTTCAAAGCAGCATATT